ATTAACGTGTTCGTCATCTGCCATAGCTTCTTTTTTCATGGCAAGAACACCAAACATCTACTCTCTTCAAGAAACCCTAGAATAAAGTAACATGTTATTAACCGCAGCCCTCGTGGTGCATATGAAACTCTAGACTCTGTCCTCCTGCAACTTGGGGTCTTCCCACCCACACCTTCCCTGTGTGGGCTACTCCTGGTAACTGCCATTTTATTCTCTATTTCTATGTATTGACATGTTTTGAAAAAATTGGATGAAATTATGCAGTATTTCTCCTCCTGGGCCTGCCTGTGTCACTGGGCATGGTGTTCTCTGCTGTGGCAAATGGCAAAATCTCTTTATTAAGGGGCGTCATTAAGCCTGAATCGTATTTCATTCTTTCTGTCTCTCCCCCACTTCCAAAATTTCTTTATTCATTCATGCCTTGGTGGATGGCCAGGCTGATCACGTGCCTTGGGTATTATGGATAATCTGCAGTGAACACAGGCTGCAGAAGTCTTTACAAAATGCTGGTTTTGTTTCCCGTGGGTCATACACAGAAAATGGGTTTGGGGTAACACGGCAGTTCCAGTTTTTATTTCCTTAGGACTCTCCACACCGTTTTCCACAGAGGCTGCGCCAATCTGCATTCCCACCCACGATGCACAGACCCCTGCAACCCTTTATCACTTGTCTTTTTGTTAATAGTGATCTGAACAGATGTGAGTGAACATCGCACTGTGGTTTTGATTTCTGATTCCCCCATGGCTGGTGCTATTGAGTAACCTTCATATACTTGTTGATCACTTTCTTTTGAGAAATGACTACTTACATCCTATGTCCACTTTTAAATTAGGTTGTTTTTCTGAAATTAAGTTCCTTTTTTTTTTCTTTTGTTACTCAAGCTCAAATGAGGTTCGAACCCACCACCCCTGGTGTGGGTGTGTGGAGCTGCATGCTAACCACTGAGCTATGGCGCCCAGTTTGCAATTAAATTTTGCATGTTATTTATTTATTTTAGATATTAATCTCTATCAGATATATAGTTTACAATATTTTCTCCCAATCTGTGGGCTGTCTTTTCATTTTATTCACTGTTTTCTTTGCTACACAGAAGCCTTTAGTTTAATATGCAGCATAGCCCTAATTACTTATTTTTGATTTTGTAGCCAGAACTTTGGTGCGATGTCCATAAAAATTTCTGCCAAGGGCCATGTCAAGGAGCTCTCCCTATGTATTCTTCCAGGCCTTTCATGATTCTGTGTCACACATGTAGGTTTTTTATGCATTTTGAGTCAGTTTTTGTGTATAATGCAGGAGACTGTCCAGTTCCATCCTTCTGCTTGGGGATATTCATCTTACCCAGATATTTGTGGAACAGAATTTCCTTTCCCTGTTATGTCTTTTTTGTGCTCTTGTTGAAAATTAGTCGACTGTATACGCTTGTGGTTATTTCTGGCTTTATTATGCTCGATTGGTCTACACATCAGTTTTCAAGAGCACAGGCTCTACAGCAAGACTATCTGAGTACAAATCTCAGCTCTACTTGATTAAAATCCCTTCATTTCTCTTTCTTTCCCAATAATAAAAACATGTTGTAATAAGATCTAGCCCAGGAGTACATATTAAGTAGAAGGTTGACTGGGATATAGCTCATACTATAAAACTGTTGATTATTGTTATGAAATATTGTTGTTTGTATCACAATATTTTTTATAGTACTTTGTAAATTGTAGGTGATAATTTTTTAATTGATGAAATAAATTTTACTTCCTCCACATATTCACTTTGGTTTTTAAAAAATTAATAATACCATTAATGGTTTTAGCAAATGAGGTGTAGCTGTGCCATGCTCCTGACAATGCCTTTCTTCCAGTCGCCAGCATTTGAATGAGAACACAGGTGCAAATCTTTAAATCACGTTCAATAATAGCACATATGCTGAGGGTGATAGCAGAAGATCTGATGAGTGACCAGTAGTGACGCTGTAGATAGAAGCTGGGTGACTTAAATTCTCCTGACATGATGTGTCAAATACAGACCCAGTACATAACTCTCCTGCTAATTTTCCTTGCAATATTTGTTTAAGGCAAAAGCTATGTCTTATCTTTGAACTTGAATATTCAACACGTTTTCTAGATTGGAGAATCTCAGTGCCATCCAGAAGGTTTTGGTGTGGGGTGTGTGTGTGTTTGGACAGATATGAGCCTGTGGCTGGGGCTTCCAACCACTTGTCTAGAGTCTAGAGCAGGGGTCCTCAAACTTTTTAAACAGGGAGCCAGTTCTCTGTCCCTCAGACTATTGGAGGGCTGGACTGCGGGCCCCAGGACAAGTCGGCTGCCAAGCAGGACAGGCAGCGGTGGCAAAAACACCCGGCGGGCCGGATAAATGTCCTAGGCGGGCTGCATGTGGCCCGTGGGCCATAGTTTGAGGATTCTGGTCTAGAGTCTCCATCAACTCAGACAGTTTTTCCATGTATCTATATTTGTAGCTGTGGACACCTATAGCTTTCCTGTTCCTAGAATTTTTTATTGAGAATAATTTAGACTAAAGTCAGCAATACATTTAAGCACGTAACTTTAATGCTACCTGTCTGGTTCCCCAGCTCTGAAGAATCATGCAGTGGCCCTCTAGGTTGTAACCCTGTGCTGAGCTCTTCTCTCATGCCAGAACTTAGACATAAGTTTAGATGTCCCAGTGTCACCCTAGAGAAGTTTTAATCTGAGTTTGATCATGGGCCACTTTGAGACCTGATGAGCCTGTGGCTCTGCCTCCAGAGTACGTGAGCACTCCATCACCCTAACATTGCCTTCCAAAGTCAGGGCTCAAAGATCCCTCAGTTTTCTTTTTTTTTTTTTTTTGTGGTTTTTGGCCAAGGCTGGGTTTGAACCCACCACCTCTGGCATATGGGGCTGGCACCTTATTCCTTTGAGCCACAGGTGCCGCCCATCCCTCAGTTTTCTTCACAAATTCCCCTCAAGTTAAGACATCCGGTTGCATTCAATTGGCTTTATTGTTTGAAAATGAAAATAGTGAATGTTGCATGAACATAAATCATAAGGAGAGAAGAGAAAAGGGTTGAATCTATGAAAATCATGTTTTCTTTTGACTGAAGGTGGACAAATGGCTGAAGGAGAGCTTGAAGTAGTCATTTGGTTTCAGCAAAACCTGTAAAAATAACAATAGTTTAGGAATTTAGTTCACAGTGTGTAAAAGTTGTCATGATGCGTAGGCGTCTATCAGCTTCCACAGCTTGACACTTAGGGCTGTATCCCAGCAGTTCATCAAGTTAAATGTTTAAAACTGGCATATAGTGAAACAACAGTGATGGACCTCACCTAAAATTCACAGAAGGCAAGTCCTTCACCTGCTTCTTCATACGGTGGTTTTAATTTAGAAATCTAAGCTCTTGAGTTTTACACAAATGTTAACTATCGACGTAATCATTACTGAACTGAAAACATAACCATGTGATAGTGTATTTTGGGTCAACAATATACACAAACACATATTTCATTACTTGCTTTCATGTTGTCAACATTCATTTTCTCAGATTGTTTTCTAAAATTTAATAAGCCAAATTTTTGGCTTATGATCTGTTTCCTATTTAATATTCTGTTAAATAGCAGCTCCATCACTCAATCACACGCTGGCAGTCTAAGGAAATCACAGCATTTTCTGTTTTTCTGTAAGTTAGCCCATTTGGACGTAGACAGCCTGGTAGTTGTGCTCTACTATCTGAAAGTAGACCTATTTGATGTGACTCTCACTTTGATTCGCCAGCTGTGACAATTTACTTAACATCTTTAGGCCTATTCTTTTTTATTCCTGGATTTGAGATAGTAATGAAATCTGTTGCATATGGTTGTGTAGGAATCAACTGCTGTGTTTATATACTCTCCTTATGGTTTGGTAAAGATGAACGTTACGGTTTGGTTAAAAACGAATGTTAATATTTATTAATTATACTTTACATTTTCAATACATTACACTTTGTGGATTGGTTGGTTTTAAAATTCTTTGACATATGCATTCTCACTGTAGCCTCATAGTGACAAAAATTATGAGAAAATAAAAATTCAGGAGAATAAGGGCCAGCCTATGATTACCAGGCGGGAAGATGGAGGTGGCCTCTCTGCTCTGATGCTGCCCCTATCTCATAGGCAGTTGTGTGGAGTTAGGTAAAAAAATGAGAAGCCACTCTGAGGGGCTGGAAACAGTTGTTTTAAAGAAATTCAAAATTTTGTAACTTTCTCTACAAATTATTTCACACCTTTTTGCCATTTTCTACTTCAGTAATCTTTCTCTTTAAGTTCTTCCCACAAGTTTCAGATTGTTTCAGACTCTGTCATTATCTGTTGATTCAAGTAATAAATAATAACATTTGCGTGGCATTCAATGCTCTTACAGACCCCTTTTATGCTATTTAGTGTTTTTCGTGTTAAGGTGTTATGTTAATAATTCATCTGTACACTATCTTAGAATAGGAGAAATTGGAGATGTCTCACATGAAGGATCCTTTCAGAAGATAATGTGTGAGGTAAAAGGATGCATAAGAAAAACATCATTCCCTCTCACTCTGTCCATACCAAAATGAGGGTTCAAGAGCAGTGTTATGAAATTAGAATTTATTTAGACTCACATTCTGTAGAGTTGGTTCTAAGAAAACTTATTTTTGAGATAAGAAAAGTCATAGAAGCGTTCCTTAGTGTTCTGCTCCGGGGCGACGGTCTACGTGTGGATAGGAATGGAATAAAACTAGTAGGTTCTAGGAGGGCTCCAACCTTCCTTATTTTCTTCATTTTATAAAATAAAATTGTTTTTTATTTCTTAGAACAAAATCTATTTTAGCAATGCTATAGTTCTACCAAATCAGAAATTTACGTACCCTATTTTACCTGCTCCCATTAGTACTATTTTAAAATTTATGACTATGTTGGTAAACCCGTGCTTCTTGTCTGGATTATCCATTTTATTTGTACTCATTTACCTGTGCTGTCTTCTTTGATACTTCCTTAGTGTTTTCAGGCCACATTAGCAGTGACAGTGACTGCAGCAGCCTCCAGGGTGTTTGTGACAGCAGACACTGAGGAAGCCTCTGGAGTGACAGTGACTGCAGCAGCCTCCAGGGTGTTTGTGATAGCAGACACTGAGGAAGCCTCTGGAGTGACAGTGACTGCAGCAGCCTCCAGGGTGTTTGTGACTGCAGACACTGAGGAAGTCTCTGGAGTGACCACGCTGGTTGCTGCTGGGTCAGTGGCAGGAATTGGTGTAGGTTCAGCAGTTGCAGTGGTGGTGATGGTGGGGGTGGTGGGGATGGGTGCTTTATGCTGAATTTTCCTTGGTGGAATGGCAATGAAGGATGCAGGTCTGTGTGGGACACGTGCCATGGTGGGTGCATGAATACTGGGCAGGGCTTGCCACTGGGAAACCTGAGCGTGTGGCTTAAGCACAACTGGTTTTGCATAATAAGTGTAAGGTATGTATGGCCTGTTAATCAGTATAGCCAGTCTGTGTCGATAGAAATAAGGCTCATAATGAGGATAGCTACTCAGCATATAATAAACTGGATCATAAGAAACTGTCTTCTGATTGAATAATCTTTCATTGTTCTCATGGCACTGCAAGAAATAAAATTATGCAGAATAGTATTATTACAGACCTGAATGTAGGGATATCTTAAATCAGCATATTCTAAAATAATATGGCATTTGATGTTGAGAAAGTACAATATTGGAAGTATTATATTACTTTTATTATATCTTATAAAATTATATAACACAATTACATTATTTTACAAAGTATGGATTTACACATTTCCCTTTTATTTCATGATTTTCCATATTAAAAAATATCTTCAATACTATAAAATTTTTGCTTATTTTCTCCAAAAAATGTTTGCTTCAAACACATTAGATGACACATCCACGGTATAAACCATATTGCTTAGAACTTGCCACATATGATGTGTGATTCAGATGTTGGGCATTCTAAGTTCAGACACTAAAATAACCCCAGGGAGAACTCTGACATATTATCCACATGCACACCACGCAGACACACGTGATCACACACAGTCCCAGACACACGTGTGTTCTCACCACATGCACACCACTACAGACACACGTGATCACACACAGTCCCAGGCACACGTGTGTTCTCACCTCATGCACACCATGCAGACATATGAGATCATATGTGTTCCCATGCACACACGTGTATTCTCACCACACGCATACCATGCAAACACACGTGATCACACACATTCCCATGCACATGTGTTCTTACCACACTCACACCATGCAGACATACGTGATCGCACACATTCCCATGCACATGTGTTCTCACCACACGCACACCATGTAGACACGTGATCACATGCATTCCTAGGCACACATGTCTTCTCACCACACACACCACACAGACACGCGATCACATGCATTCTCATGTACATGTGTGTTCTCACCACGTATGTGTGGTTTCTCATAGATTTTATTAATCTAGAGATGAGCCTAAAGGCATATTTGTTTTTTTCTAAACTGATTATAGCAGAATGGTAAAATAATGAGATGTGAAGCAATTCCTGTATTTAGATTTTGGATTTTCTTTTCAGTATAATTTCTCTACAAAAGATCAGATAGGGAGTTTTCTGTTTTTATTTTCATCTATTCTATAAATTGCATTCAGCCATAAAAATTTGTCAGTGGATCTTTCCATATGAATAGAAATAAATCAAGAATATTATATGCCAAGCAAGAATTTCTCATGAAAGGAGATATACTGAAATGTATTAAAACATATTTGAGAAACAAAATGGGAAGTAACAATGCAGGTGTATGAGGAGTTTCCAAAGAAGAGTCAGAGAGGGAGCCTTTCCTGAGTCTTCAAAAGTGGACAGGAGAGATATTAAGCTTTACATTTGTTTTCATTTTTTCCCCAATACTAAATGCTGAGAGAGTTTTCTCATGTTGTGAAAAGTACATAAAAAGCAAAGATATGTGACTGGAGTTTATAGTAAAACCAGGACTTGGGGCTGAACATCAAGGTTAGTTCATATTATTTGTTGCAGAAGTCATTTTTTTACCAAGACATAATTAGATTACTTTACGGAATATTAATACCTAGTTTTTAGGCAGAAGGCTAAAACTCTGTAGAACATTATATCTTGGAATCCATCCCTCTAATAGGAATAATCAAGGTAAACTTACTGCTGGTTTTTCCTGGTTTTGCACCTCTGCAGCCTGGGAATTAAAAGAAAAAAGTAATAATGAGAAATAAGAAATAAAAAAGGAAACCAGACTTGTCTTCTTTTGTTTTGGCTTAAAAAACTTTTGCATTAGAAAGTTAAAAACAAAACTTTTTGTTTTAATTTTCTTTCTCACATTCTTTTGAGACAGAGTCTCCTTCGATTGCCTGATTAGAGTGCAATAGGGCATCACAGCTCATAGCAACCTCATGTTCCTGGGACCAAGTGATCCTTCTGCTTCAGCCTCCCTGGTAGCTGGAACTGTAGGTGCTCATTACCATGCCCAGCTAATTTTTCTACTTTTTTACAGAGTCTTGCTATGTTGCTTGAGCTGATGTAGAATGCCTGGCCTCAAGTGGTCCCCTGTCTTGGGCTCCCAAAGTGGTACAGTCCCAGAGGATTACAGACATGAGCTGCCTTGCCTGGCCTCATTTTAATATTTTAAAGTAACGATTATTTAATCTAAGAAGTCTGTGAACTACTCAAGAAGCCATAGTAATCTTCTGAATAAAATAGTAGTAGTGGACTTCATGTTTAAATTGTCTTTAAAGATTACCACCTAAAAAGGAAAATTCACTGTTAAAAATAGTCTGATCATATGACCACTTGCCAACAGATAACACATATTTGCTTAAATGAAAACTATGAATAAACTATGTTCAGTTTGTACTAAATATACATTGTTAAAAATTAGAGAAGCATTGAGCATTTTTTTTTTTTGGGTCCCACATCATGGTGATTCGTGATATTACTTAGGAGGCTTAAAATATCGCCTTTGCAGAGTCTTATAAGCTTACTATATAAATGATGGTGTTTTCAAAATTTTCTTCCATTTGCTTTTATAATTCTTTTCTTTATTCTAGATTGTAATATACATAGAGAATTAGGAATAAGGAAACATTTTTAAAAACTCACCAAGGTTTTATAAACTTTGAGATGAGAATATTAAATATTCTTAAAATTACAGTTATAGTTAAATATATTCATATATATATGGATATAAAATGACTCGAGAAATGTTTTGGAAAGTTTGGGTATGGAAAATCAGAAATTTGAAAGGGGAATAAAACTCAGAGTGTGGTGAGACAAAGACTTATTATTTTCTGAATATATTTATTCAGTTTCGAATTTAAAGAAGTAGTATGAATAATATTATCAAAAATATTGACAAAGTAAATACTTTAAAACAATATCAACCTATATTATGTAGGCATGACCTATACCTATACTTTATTTAAGTAAATACTTAAAACAGTATCAACCTATATTATGTAGGCATAACTTACACCTATACTTTATTTAAGTAAATACTTAAAACAATATCAACCTATATTATGTAGGTATAACTTATACCTATCCTTTATTTAAGTAAATACTTAAAACAATATCAACCTATATTATGCTTAGGTAAACTTTTATTTTTTTTTTTGTAGAGACAGAGTCTCACTTTATTGCCCTTGGTAGAGTGCCTTGGCTATTCTCTTGCCTCAGCCTCATGAGCAGCTGGGACTACAGGTGCTTGCCACAATGCCCAGTTATCTTTTTGTTGCAGTTTGGCTGGGGCTAGGTTTGAACCCACCACCCTCAGTATATGGGGCTGGCTCCTACCCACTGAGCCACAGGTGCCACCCCTAGGCAAAATTTTTTTTATCTAAAAATCTTGTCCTGATTTTTGACAAGAAAAATGATTATTTCTTCATTTATCTCATAGTTTTTATACTTACATTTTTATAGTAAAAATTGTGTCATGAAATGTTTATTCTTTATTGTTACCTGTTTAGGGTAAAGTTTTTAACTATAAATAGATGAATAACATTTGTAAGCCAGTGATGCCAGTGGCCTTTGTCATAGTTTGTGTTGACTTTCTAAGACAATCTTTCAAAAATGAGATTGTTCAAGGGCAAAAATTCTTTGATAGGAATTATCAAATTGTTGTGCAGAAAAGTTGTGCCAACTTATAAGGCCACCAATAGGCTGTGAGTTTGAGTAGTTTATCATATAATTGCTAGTAAAAAGTATTATCTTAACTATTTTTAAGACAATAGGGCAAAGCAATAAATTAGCACATAAAACATGGTGTCTCAGTGTTGTTTTAATTTGTGCAAATTTGACTACTCATAAGGTTGAGTGGTAAAATCAATAACTTCAGTTTTTCTTCTGTATTATCTTTCAAGTCCACCTGGCTCGAAGCCTCTATGAAATGTGGAGTGTGTGGGTGAAGTAGACTCACATAGCTCACGAAGAGGCAGCACAAGAGCAGGTGGCTGAGGGTCATTCTATGATGTAACCCTTAACCCCTGTCACTCAAAGGGAAAACCCACCTCCTACATGGGCAGGTGGCCACTGAAAAATGGAATTCCGATGAATAAATGAGAGAAAAGAAATGTAAGAATCATAGCAATTTAAACTCTTTAAAAGTAATTTTGACTCCAGGAATTTACCTAATAGAGTTTTTTAATAGGTGTTAACATAAAGGCAAGCCTAAGCTTAATAATAAACCAATCATGAAACAAGGACAGGTGCCCTCCAGAATTCTGTCTCACAGGAGGACGTAGGTGTCATCTATGTTTTCCTCCTTTTTGCTGTTGGCAAATATGGTGCCAGGAGTTCCCAGATGAACATGAAAATGACACATGCTGATAGCCAAAATGAGTCAAAAATTGAAGGAAAAGAAACCGCACCTTTTTTGGTGTGAAGACCTTAAAACATAGTGTGTAATTATGGCTGGGCACGGTGGCTCACGTCTGTAATCCCTCATGCTGGGAGGCCAGGGCAGGTGGATTGTTTGAGCTCACAGGTTTGAGACCAGCCTGAGCAAGAGAAAGACCCTGGCCTCTAAAAATAGCTGGGCGTTGTGGCAGGCACCTATAGTCCCAGCTACTCGGGAGGCTGAGACAAGAGAATTGCTTGAGCTCAAGAGTTTGAGGCTGCTGTGAGCTGTGACACCACAGCACTCTACTAAGGGGGACAAAGTAAGACTCTGTTTCATAACAAACAAACAACCAAACAAACCAAAAAAACACTAAACATAGCATGTAATTCAAGATAATGCCTGCAAGCTGTAGAGTTACATGCCTTAAATCCTTAGGACAGGGAAAAAAAGTCAGTCAGCCCACACAAGAGGGAAGACCCAATGCAAGATAAACTAATAACTCGGGTGTAAAGGGACAGGGCTCAAGGTCTTTGAAACTGGTGGGCAAGGTTGACCAAGCTCCTAATCTTTTGAGGAAGTAGTTCCTAAAGGGATTGGAGTCTGGATAAGACAGAAATTTAAATAAAATAATTTCTGATCCTGGACTTTGATTTCCGTTATTTATTCTTTATGAATTATCTTTAGAATATTTTGTAATTTTATGTGTAAAATAGTTTCAGAATTGTTTATTTCCCAGAATGCATTTTCTCTATAATATGAAAATTTTAAAGATTTTGTAGATATAAATGTGATTTCTTTCTTTTTTTCTTTTTTGAGACAGAGTCTCACTTTGTTGCCCTGAGTAGAGTGCTGTGGCATTACAGCTCACAGCAACCTCAAACTCTTGGGCTTACATGATTCTCTTGCCTCAGCTTCCTAAGTAGCTGGGACTATAGGCACCTGCCGCAACACTCAGCTATATTTTTGTTGTTGTTGCAGTTGTCGTTGTTTAGCAGGCCCAGGCTGGGTTCCAACCCACCAGCTCCAGTGTATGTGGTTGGTGCCCTAGCTGCTGAGCTACAGGTGCTCAGCCATAAATGTGATTTCTTAATTCATAGGAACAAAATGGATATCCAGAGGAACATGACTTTAATTTTATACTGGAAATAAATATAAAAATAAATTTACCTTTAAGGTCATATAACACTATACAGCTATTTTGTTTTATGAAATGTAGCTATATTTAGGAATTTGTGTAACTAGAGTCCTTGAATACAATTTTCTTAAGGTCAATATGAATTGGTTATATGAAATAAACTCACCAAAAAGGGCAGGGTTAATGCCAGGACATTCACCACTAGAAGAAAATTCTTCATTATTGCACCTAAAAATAAATTGAAAAGAATTGAAAGAATTGTCTCTAACAATCGAGGAGTGTTTTGGATTGAATGTCTGCATTGGTTAAAAAAATACACATATATATTTACAGGTAGATTTAGCCAATGTGAAACGTCTAATTTAACAGAAATACTAAGAAACAAAATTTGGAGTAAAAATTTCTTCAATTTAATTTTTGACAACAATAGTGGAATTATCACTGCGGTTTAATTACTTACTCATTTAACATAGACCAAGAACTCACAAAGAATAAGGTGCTCTGCCACATGTTAAGATCACCAAGGTGAATCTAATATAATTATGTAGCATCAATTTAATAAGCTGAGTTTGTATCCACTTTTTTTGGTAATAGATGTCCTATTAAATAGCAACTAAATAACACAGTTTCTACACATGTAGGTCTAGAAATCACAGTGCGTTTCCCCCGTTTTCCACCAAGTTGGGCAGCCCATTTGGAAATAGGTGCCAGGTTGGAAAGAGAGTGGCCACACCCACGAATGGCTGCGAGGGGAAACCAAGGAGGAAATGTCACCAAAATGATCTTCTGCCCACAGGAAGGTTCAGTTAAAAGAATCAGCAGGATTCTTCGTGTAGAAGATGGGACCTGCCTATGCAGAGTTCCATAGAGAGAAAAACAT